TTTCTCACGGGGGTTGAATGAGTTTTTCGAGAATCTGTTAGCTAGATCATGGCTCTCCTCAACCCACGTTGAGCACTGCGTGCCAGGACAAGCACCAGTTCACATGTTTGCACTATGCAATACGAGATGCCTATGCTGGATGTTTCCCGATCTTGAGGCCAGGGGCTGAACTTCTGACCAACCGCAAAATCGTCACCCCAACAGCAAGCGTAGAGTTAATTGTTGCTCATCCAGGGACTAGAACTCACCCAGTGTAAGCTGGGCGCATTGTATGCAAAGTTAAAGTAGACATAAAATAGTCCGGATTATTTCAGTACTGCCGCATTGCCACCAATCGAAACGCAACGTGATTGTCTTCTTCGGGTTTTTCAGGTTACTCCTTTCCAGCTGCTTCGAGTTCCCTGAGCCGGAAACTCGGAGCTTGGGCAGTCAGAACCCCTTTCATCTTGGGAAAACGACTTGTTTGAGATGCAAATGTCTGCTTCAGACAGTGTTAGATGTGTTTTGCACCCTCACACTGTCCAGAATTTCCCTAAAACTAGGAACCGAATCATTAGTCCGAGCGTGAGCTATCCTGCGTACAGTTACTAGAAGCTACATAGTCGCCTGAGCTTACTAGTTTGTCCTTTACTCAATCAAGTAGGTGCCTAAATCGGTGCCTAGTTAATCAAGTAAGCAGGCAGCGCCACTCAGACCAACAAAAAAGTTCGGGCCAGTTCGGGCCCCTTTTTTCTATCTGTTTCTAGGCAGTGAAGGTTCAGCTCTTTAAGTTGGTGTCGCCCAAAGCTCTGGTCAGGGGTCGAGAGGTGGACGAACTGATGCGACACAAGCGCTTCCAGCTTCAGCCAGGGTCCAATCCTCGGGAAGTAGCGCTGAAGCAGCGCTAAAACCACAAGTTGATGCGGTATGGCCATGTGTCGCATAGGTGAGGAGATGTTCCTGGTGCCAAATCCCCTTGTGCGATTGATTCACACTTGAAACAACATGAAGCAAAAACGAATCGCATGAAAGGCCAGGGCTGTTGACAAGCCTGTGCAACCACATGGTTGACAGTCAGGCTCACCTCGCTATTTTCATACGTTCCAGACCTGTTTCCCGTGACAGAGCACATTATTGAAAGGCCATTGAAACTGCTGGTGCTTTGCGAAGGGCGAAGGGGCAATGCTTAACAATCTGTATCAATTCGGTCTAAGCGTCCATACTCCTAGTAGCGGTGCCAGGAGCCCCTAGAAGCGTCCTTGCTCCTAGTAGTAAGGCCAGGAGCCCCTAGTAGCGTCCTTCCCCTAGTAGCGTCCTTGCTCCTAGTAAGGCAAGTGCATGCCGTTGGACACATGTTGCCACAAGCCAACGCTGACCTTTCAAGCCATACATACAGCTCTCGGGGAGCCTCCACCGTCCTGTGCGCTCTCGCCGCTTGGCTGGACAAGCTTCATGTGCGCACAGCCCACCTCAATCACAACCCTCTGGTTGTTGGGTTAATGTTGCTGCAAGATGTCAAAAATTGCTTTGCACAACGCAAATAAGTAATTAGAGAACAGGTGGCATTCCATCTCCTTGGCTGTTGTCACGCGTGATTCTTACGCCTCGGCTGCATTCCCACCTCACCATTGACCAAGGCTTGCAGCCATGGGAAAGACAAGAGTCATTTCCAAGGGCTACCGCCACGGCACGCGTGACAAGCATCTCGGATTGTCTTGACAACTAACTATTCTGAGTCAGAACCCCACAAAGCAGTGAGCAGAAATGCACACAAATGAGATTAAATATGTTGTCTCACTTATGACATCTTATGACTATGTGTCCTACTTCTAGCAGAATTTCATAGAATGTCTATCAATTTCTACTAGTAGCAAGGACGCTATTAGGTGGAGGCCATCGCTATTAGGGTGGAGGCCATCGCTACTAGTAACAAGAAGCTACAAGCAACAAATGTAAGCCCTCAAAGTGTGTGCGATGACAGACTGAAAGATCTGGAAGCCGGCACGGATGCAGACTGTTCTGAGTGAAGCTTGTGGAACAAAATGGAATTACATTAATATAAAAGAATTACTAGTAGCGATGCGCCGCGCTAGCTACTAGCAGCGTCCTTGCTACTAGTAGTAACGCCAGGAGCTACTAGTAGCTTCTTGTTCCTAATAAAATCTAATAAATATTTCGTTGTTTTCGCATGTTTTCGCCCAAGCTGAGGTATTCCAAGAAGTATCGCACCAAAGGTTTGTCAAGCCCTCAAAAGTGGAGTGTTTGGAGCATTTCTAGTTCGGCAAGTTCCCCAAAGGCCCGGTTTGGCCCGGTACTTGGTGAACTTCAAGCGTGGCGACTATGTGGACATTGTGGTTGATCCCTCTGTGCAGAAAGGCAGCATGGGATGGGATCTCAAGGGTACAGTATGTGAAATATGATTTTGTGACTGCGAATCTATTCTCTCATGAACCATGTGTTTGTTTGGCGGTTGTCAGTTTCCTTAAATACTTCACGGGCGTGCAACCCACTTACAAAGAACATAGGTGCCTCTCAGTGCTGTTATCCGGCCCCACAAGACAAGCCATGCTTTCATACAAGACATGCCTCCAGGATCACCGGTGGCACTCTTGGCTAAATTGTGGTGTGTTGTCATTGTGCACAGTACGACGGACTTGCAATCCCCTTCTTGTTGCTGCTGCTGCCGCCGCTGCTGCTGCTTCAAGCATTTTTGGGAGGCATGCCTTACTCCTTCTACCATGGCCGCACGGGTATTGTCTTCAACGTGAACAGGAATGCCTTGGGTGACTCGCAGACATTCAGGAGCCGCATGGTTCTTCCTTCTGTTGCTTTGTCCACAGCGGGTTCAACATATGAGCAATTGTCATGCAGTTATGCTGATGTGTTTTCACCAAAGCCTATTTCACCAAAGGTGTTGAGATCACCAAGATTGTGGGCAATCGCCAGCTGCGCAAGCGTATCCATGTGCACCAACCCCAGAAGATTTGCAGGATGTTTTGATTTTTACACCAAGAATCGTTTCACTGGGAGTCGTTTCACCTGTAGTAACTGTAGTAACAAAAAAGCTTTTTAGATATTTTTAGTATGTCATTGAAGCTTCTTAGTAACAGTTCTCATGGACACTCACCCTTCGATATCCAAGGCGCATTGAGCACGTGCGCAAGTCCCGGTGCAACGAGGCAACTGGACTTCAGTTGAATCAATTACACATGTGCAGACAACAATCTAGAAGATATGATTGAAGTTTCTGAATAACTAACACATGTGTTTCCTCCCCTTTGCAAGATTAAATTGAGATACAAGCCACAAGCCACAACGCTCAGCACTTGCTAGCACCACAGCCCTGAGGCTTTCAAGCACCGGGTGAAGGAGAATGACCTGAAGAAGCAGCAGGACCGGTAGTCAGAGTCGCTAGTCGAGGAGCAGAGACGCGTTCAGAGGACTCGTTCTTTTTGTGCATTTGAAGAGTACCCTGCTGAATACGCCTCCTTTGAGGTCACTATCACTACGCCTCTCTAGACTAGATAACGTTGGGAGTACAGAATACATACGGTGTGTGTATATTTATATATAATATACAATTACTCTACTACACACAAAGTGCCTTTCCACCGACTGCCGTCCACACCAGGCCAAGAAGGAGGGCCGCACCATTGTGTGCAAGCGAGAGCCAGTTGGGCCACAAACTCAAGACCGCCAGTGAGAGTGGCCCATCCCACCCCGCAGAACTGCTCCAGGATGTGTGTGTGTGTGTCTCCCCGTCTCCATGGAGATTGTTCACACGATGTCGCTTGTGCACCTTTTCGATTCTACTCTCTCAACCTTCTTCTTGCACGCAGAAATAGATCGCAGGGGGACTGGAGCCGATTTGCTCCAGTCCAACGAAGCTATGAAATTGTGGTAGGTGGGTCATTTGATCATCCACTTGTACCTGAATATATTTGATCGATGAATGTAAACTATGTCGTTTTGACCTTTCGCCTTACCGTTTGCACAGGGCCATTGCAGGTTCATGAGATCGTTCTCACACTAGCTATATAGGTCCTAAAGAGTTTAATGCTCTCTTGGAACAACACTGAAGTGTGCTCTTGCAAGCTCTTCTCAAGTGTGTGTGTGTGTGTGCATATAATCCAGCTCAAACGAAGTGAACGCTCGTTTTCACACTCGATATCAAAAAGGGCTTCGCAAGTCGTGCATGCCCCTCTACAAGCATCAACCTCACGCAAACCACGAGAACATAGGGATTCGCTCCCCCTTCCCGTGTTCACTCGGGATATTGAATCCCTCCAAACACATGAACACTTTCGGCGCACTCTTCACACCAACATTGAAGAAATTCAAAAGTTCGAGCGTCAAGACTCAAGCCCTTCTTCTCTTCCGTCTCTCTCTCTCTCTCTGCCAGCTTCTAAACAGGTGCCATCTAAAAAGACTCATCCCTCGACACAAACCATCACATTCCCCAAATGAATGGAGACTCAGTCCAGGGTTCCAGAGCTTCCATAGCCCCTGCCAAGCCAGCCCCAAAGAAAACCTTCATGAGGTAGTCGAGAGCTTCACCCAGAGCCCATAGTCCCACCACTGCCAGCCGACCTGACTTCGGAGGGACGTGCCAGGATGCTATAGCCCGACCACCTCTGCTTCAAGTAATGCATACCATGGCTTCCTTTTCGGACATCTGAGCAGCGTTTTTTTATTGAATGATAAACTTTAGATTAGACTGTAACTCCACAAGTGTTTGCGAAGGCATTCGTGTGATACATTGTGTGTAGCGAAGGCTCGCGAAGCCTTTGGCGTAGGCTGTTGGATTTCACACAGGCGAAGCCAACTCGCGAAGGCAAACTTAGAGTCTATGAAAGGTTGAACTTGGATTCTGGCGTGCAGGGACACTCTAGTTCTCCAAGTTCCTTTGTTTTGTGCAGATGGATCTTTTTTGTTTAAACCAGTTGTTGGCGTGTGTATTGGGCCCAAAGGGGTAGTATACACGCACAGACAAGACTTCTTGTAGAGTGAGACTGAGTCAACACATCCATGACACATCCATGACTTTGCTTGGAGTTCGAGAGAAAAGGCAAACACTAGCAAGATTTAGAAGCTAAAGGCAAGAAACTTGGAGCCTGTGAACATGGCGTGGACGACCGAGCAGAAGATTCGCATGAGTGGTGCAGCAGTGGGTCAACCATATTGACGCCTACCCTTGTCAGCGTTTGTTGTTTGTTACTGTTATTTTCTTTTGCGCTGATTTCTCTACAGAGCCACTTTGGCCAAGCATGTAAGGGGTGTTCATTTCACCTGATGGCAAGAAGTTTTATTCACGCAGGGCTGCTGTACAGGCAGGCATGGAGGATGTAGACCAGGGGCATGCTAACAGGCCTGATGATTCAGACCAGGGGCATGGCATTAGCGATTCTAGACCTGTTGAGCCAGAACCCATTCAGGATGTTACTTGCCTCACTTTCTGGCATGTTGTTCCCCCTTTTCTTCCGGCGACCTGGCGTTTGCCAGGTTACAGGGGCTGACGTGCACGATGGGGAGGTCGTTGCGCAGAGTGCCACAGAAACTTCTTCTACTCGATTGCTCGCAGGGCCTGATATGGGCGATGGGGAAATCGTTGCACCGACTACCCGTACCACCTTCTCTACACCTAGTGTGGCTGTCGCGCCTGTTCAAAAAGGAGGTCCACCTCTGGAGCCACTGCAGGCTGTGTCGAAAAAGCGGCCTTTGGCACACTCTCCTGAGGCTGAGTCAGTTTCTTGTTTGTAGATGGCTTTGTTGGGGATGCTTCTTTTGAACCTTTGCACCCCCTCAATCTACTACTTTGGGCCAACCTCCAGGATGTAGATGACGATGGAAATCCCATGCCCAAAGCCTGGCGTCGAGGATTCTGGACAGGAGAGCCAACATGGCAAGGCACTGGCCCACAGCCTGGTGATATTAACGAAGTCGTCCGCCGACATGTTGCCCAGAAGGCTGTGTTGCCACCAGGACCTATTTCTGCACATTCTGAGATTGATGACTTGCTGTCTTCTGCAGCCATGAGGTTGCGCAAAGCTGCTGCCAAGAAGAAACGTCAGGCAAAGGCCCTGCGCGTATCTTCATCTTCTGACTCCTCAACTTCGAGCTCATCTTCAACGTCTGAAGCTTCCAAATGAATGAATGGCTTAAGAAAAGGAACCGTCGGAACCGCGAAAGCATTTCGCGAAGCCTCTGGTGTTGCGCGAAGCCCCGCGAAGCCACCCTTCCCACAAATTCTGACCATGCGAAACCTCCAGCGTAGGCAACCCAACAGTGTATAAGCACTTTACCTTTTAAAAAACACGGCTCATCTGAGCGAATCATCAATCGCCCATCATCCATCCACGCAATGGTGATGACTCCAGAAGCCAAGCCAGAATCCGACAGTGGGACCGACAACTCGCTGTCAAACAGCTTCCTTTGCCAGCCACCGTGTCGGTGAATCTTCAAGGACACAATTCCCTGAGGAAATCGCAGGACCCCTCAAATGGCGTTCCACACACCGGCGTCACGCTCACGATGTCCGTGACCTCTTTGGAAAATAGCCACGAAAACTCCTGCAACTCATTCCTCTTCAGACGGTCCAGGAAGATCGGCATAGTCGCCCCACCTCGTGAAGTGTATACTTCAAAGAAGAGGTTTCTCGGCATCTGACTGCCAGCCCATTCCTCACCACCATTTCCATCTTGTAGTAGACCGTAGAGCTCCGCCATCGGATAGGTCTTCAACCCTGGTTTCAACCCTTCTGACTGCTGGATTGGAACTGCCAAAACCACCCCTCCTCGAGATGTAGTCGACAGCTCACGTCCCTCAGCCAAAGGAGTCTCTGCAATCTTCTCAATGATGATCTGTGCGATTCGGTCACCCACCTCGAACGACTTGGGTGAGTCACCATGATTGGCCAGAATGACCTTTACCTCTCCTCTAAAATCAGCGTCGATCACCCCTCCGGCCACGTCCACTCCCTGTGATGCCAAAGAGCTCCTCGATGCAATCCTACCATAGTGCCCCCAGGGAATCTCCAAGGCCACCCCGGTTGACAGCAACTTCCGTTCTCCAGGTGCTAGATGACACGCCATCGTTGAGCAAAGATCCCAACCAGCTGCCCCTTCAGAACCCCGTTGATTCTCTTCTAGCAACTTCACCTTAATGCTTTCCTTTCCTGCCACAATGCGCTGCAACAACTTCACCCCAAAGTCCTTGATCATGTGGAGCAAACAAACCAATCCTGCCAGGACAAGCATCCAGCCCAAATTGCCCAGCACCGATGACTGACCTCCGGTCTCCGGTCCTCCTTTCTCGCATACTTCAGCAGCAGCACCCCGAGGAAGAAGAGACGCACCCGCCACCATGATAATCTCACACCCTCACCATGCACCTCGACCATCTGCTCGGTGTACTGTGTGGTGTGGTCCCGACTCAAATGGATGCCTCGGCAGAACTTTTCCAGTGACTGCGCAGGAAGCGATTTAGTCAAAGCGTCTGCCCACAAAGCACTGCCCATCCTATGGTCCAGAGTCACCTCTCCCACCTTCAGAGCTTCAGCCAGACAACTTGCACGGATTCGAAGGTGGCGAGTCCTCCAGCCGCCTCCAGAACCAGATGCCAGCACAATGGCAGCTCTGTTGTCGTTATAGAGCTCCAAATTCACCTTCTCAATCAGAAGCTCAACCAACGCCCGTACAGATCTCCCAACCTGTAGTCCCTCCACCAAGGCTGTTAGCTCCGCTTCAGCTGTGGACAATGCCATGAGACTTTGCTTCCTGGTTTCCCATTGGACTGGGCATCCCGCCAGCAAAATGATGGTTCCTGAAATGCTATGCCCATCGCCGGGACTGAAAGATGCATCCACCAACACCTCCACCGTGCCTTTCTCTCTTGGTCGCCGTCGAGCCAAATCTGGGTCATTGTCGACCGGCACGCCGATGGGGTAGAACAAGCCGGCATCCACCGTGGACCTCAAGTAAGCGAGAACCGCTTCACCCATCTCCAAGGTCCATAGGGGACGCTTCACTGCAGCTTGTGACATCTTCATCACGGCCCACGCAATGTCCGGTCTCGTTTTGCTGGCTAGCCACAAAAGCTCTCCAGTGATCTTCTAAGCTTGGCCAGAGTGGGACTGATCTCCTCCTTCTCTTCTGGAGCCTTGATGAACATGGCCTTGCCTCCATCTCCATGTCTTTCCAGGACCTCTCGAACATAGCTTCCTTGGTGCAAATGGTAAGTGCCATTCTTCAGACGCTGGATCTCTATGCCCAAGAATCGCATCGAAGGCCCCCCTGGAACGGAGTACTCCGGGTTTGAAGTCGACCATACTCTTTGGATTGTCGAAGCCACATCTGTGACCTCCTTGTCTCCAACCATGAGGATGTCGTCGACATACACAATCATATAGCCAAGGACCTTGCCCCACTCCTCAGATGAAGTGGGCCCCCTGTTCGTCACCTCCTTGATGGCCCACAGGTTTGAGTCCTTCAAAGGCTGAAATCCAAAGTGCACCACCTCCTCATCGACCCCCTCGTGGGACATGGTGACGTTCCCTCTCATCTTCAGCAACTCAGCATCCCTATACACGCTCCAATCCTTGGGCGATGTCACCAACCCATACATAGCCGAAGAGACTACCCAATGCTCGTCGGGTTTGGCCAGCTGAGCATCGACAAGGATTCTGGGCGGTTTGACAATGACCAGATCTCCCTGTGCCTTTGGTGCAAGAAGAAAAGCTGCTTTCACATCCAAAGACAGGCACTGCCAGTTCTCCAAGGAAGCTGCTCACAATGTGGCCCGCAACTGTGTCGAGTCAGCCCCTGAGGCATAGACCTCTTCTCCAGAACGGGATTCCATGTAGTTGCCACAGCAAACAATGCGAGCACGTCTTCTGCCATCGCCAGCCTTCCTTGTGAACACTCCCATCCCAGGGATAATTTCTGCCCTCTGGCCATTGCTCTCGGCCTCCTTGATCAAGCTCAAAGCCTCAACCTCGGAAACCCGGTGAATCGCCTGATTGGAGTCGAAGTTCTGGATCTCATCTTTCAGAGGTGGGACCCACAGCGGCAGTGACTTCTTCACCTCGTTCAGGCTGATGGTGCGTGTCTGCAAGAAGATCTCCTCCTCCTCATGCTCCATCACGGCAGCCTCACACTCCATCTTCCTCAGTGAAGCCCCAGACTCTAGCAGGAACTCCTCCAAAACTGCATTCTCACTGTCCATATCCATCACCAACGGAACCTCTGCAAACTCCTGCAAGTTGGCCTCCAGAAGTTGAAACTCTTGATTCGCCCACGCCTGACCATGCAGCAACCGTTGTTGGACCACCTCCACACCGACTTGGGCCAGTGCCGTCTTCTCTGTCAGACGTCTTTTGGGCTTGACCGTCTGGTCCAAGATGCTTGCCGGCTCCGTTCGCTCTGTGACATCCACCACATCGGTTAACATAGGAGGATCACCTGCCACCACCATGTCATTCGTCCTGACGAACTTCCCGGACTCCACCTCTACCAGGTGACCACCACTCGTCAGACTCATGTGACCCCGGGCTTCTTTCTCGACCTCCAATGTCCTTGAAACTCATCCCACCCCTTGGTGGTGACCATCACCTTTTGTCCCCAAGGCATCAACCGAGGCGTAGTGAACCCCAGAGTGGCCAGCTGCTGGCGTCCTCGACGTTCACCCACATGCTTTGCCATCAAGGGCCAATAATCCTCCCCGTCTCCTGAAGACCTGATCAATGTGTTGATGGCCCTCCGAACGACACCAATTTCTGCATCAGCTCTTCCATTGGCCTTCCAATCGCTGCCGCATGTGAAGGTCCGGTACAGGCCTCGCTCCTCCCCTCATCTCTCCAGCTGCGTCGCTGTGAACTCTCCTCACATCCAGACCCAGATACTTGAGCCTGGCGATCATCTTTGCCAGGCAAGCCTTCACCTCCGCCACATTCCTGGAAACGAGGGTCTCGACCATGGTGTAGTTTTGGATTTCTATTCCCTCAGCTTCGACTTCAAGCCTTTTCCACTCTTCCAAGATCTTGTCATCATCTTCCTTCTTCGCCGGTTCCACCACCTCTTCTTCCTGCACAGCAGGCTTCAACTCCTCAACCTCCGGCTCCTCACTCACATCAGGAACCCCCAGCGTCTCCTCCAAGCTCAAAGGAAGCGCCATCGTTCTTCCTTCCACCTTCCGAACTGGAATCGAGAACACGCCCACCATGAAGTACTTGGCCTTGACCATCCGATCCTGACCAGGCCGAAAAGGTCCACAAATGTCAACACTCAAAGTCTGGGCATCAGGATGTGGAACCTTCTTGTGTGGTCGGCTCCTCCCACTTCCCTGAAGGCACGTAGTGCACTCTCTGGAGTATGGCAGATGGTCATTGATCACATGCTGCCTCCACTGCTCTGACGTCATCTTGGCAGCCAACATACGGCCATCCCCACATCCTCCTCTGGACTTGTACTCTTCGAGCTCCAGCAGGATCCCCTTGGTCACCTCAACCTTGAAGTCAACTGGCCAAGCAGCCCATGACCGGCTTTCAGACGTTCTCTGTCCCAGGCTGTTCGTCACCGGTTGAAGCCCACCCGCTGGTCGCCTATCTGCCAGACCTTCAAGCTGTTGCAGATACTTGATATTGGTGCCCAGCGTTGTTGGCTTTCTCCTCAAGTGACCCATGGCACCGAAGTCCAGCCTGATCTCCATGATCTTGAACTCCTCCGCAAATGCTTTCCATTCAGGCCACGCAAAGAAGGAAGGGTAGTCCACTGCATCATCGGCTCCCTTGTATTCTTGAGGATCTCTAGGGTTTTCTTTGAGGAACAGGACCAAACGGGCACGCGCCCTTGCCGCCAAAGAGTATAGCCAAAGCTGCCTCATCCAAAGCACCGCATCGTTCCATGCCAACTCCCGAAAAACATCCGAGAGGTCCGCCAACGCAAATCTCTCTGGCCCTGATCTCGCCCTCAACGGTGGAGGCCCTGGCTGCCTGAATCGGAGTTTAGAGACCGTCCGACATGGAGGGCCCCCTATCAGTGCATCAACATTTCCTTTCTCGCACAACTCCGCCAGGAAACTTGTCAGCTGGTCTGATAGGAGATCTTGTCCAAGATCAACCATCTTATCGATGCACACCACCGCCCTT